CTACTCTCTGTGTAGGCACTCCTGCCGACGCCGTCTGCTCAGAGCTTTAACACTGTCACCCCTGTCATTTTGCTCCTCCTCATAGTCCTCTTCTAAGTATCTCAGCATTCTATTTATACAACAACTACGACCATTAAAACACTGCAATCTACCCGATCCTTACATTCCCAGCCCATTAGTACCACACCCCTAAACTTTCGACCGATAGTACGACACATTCTATGGTCTTTTGAAATCAAACCGCAACCATTACAATAATGCGATCTAAACCATAATGAGCGTTAGCATGCTAACGCAAGTTAGCAGGCAGTCCAGCGAGCTGGCCCGACCTGCACGCATGCGCGAGTCACATGGTCATGCGCCCTCCAAGATCCTGTACAATGTCTCTTGCATGTCATTGCTGCTTTCGACTTTCGAGCATGCAACTTGCGGAACATGCGTTCCCAAACAATTTCCTCCACAATTGTGCTCGCCCCGGTGTATCTTGCTAAGCTCAATGTTAAAAGTGCATTCTGCCGAATTCCCGTCCGCCCGGAGGATAGGTCCTTGTCGATCCGCTGGCAGGATCAATACTTTTATGAGAGTGCCCTGCCCTTCAGACTGTATTACGCTCCAGTCCAGCTATATGGAACTCTGTCGCATCCGCCAGTGAATGGATTATGTGCTAGCAGTTCGCACTCACACGCCTATTGCATTACGGGGAATACCTCAACTAACGTTACTTCCTCAGTGCATGCTCTGGACTTGTGTTAGCTTGCCAGCAATTCGTTATTCTGCTCCGAGCATTTACATACTTCGATGTTTCTCTGGCCCCAGCAAAAGTGGAGGGTCCAGCTCAAGTCCTGACGTTATTGGCATCATCCTATTACGGGGAGTGCCTCGACTAACGTTTCTGTCTCCATGCCTGCTCTGAACTTGTGTTAGCTCGCCAGCAACTCGCTACTCGGCGCCGCGCGTTTACATACCTCGGTGTTTCTCTGGCGTCAGTAAAAGTGCTTCCTCAATGCATGCTCTGGACCTGTGTTAGCTCGCCAGCAACTCGCTACTCGGCGCCGCGCGTTTACATACCTCGGTGTTTTCTCTGGCGTCAGCAAAAGTGGAGGGTCCAGCCCACGTCCTGATAATTATCGGCGTCATCCTGGACACCCGCCGCGCTAACATCAGGATGCCTATGGACGAACTTGCCGAGCTTCGTGATCTCCTTCGGGCCACTCTTCACACAGCTTCAACTACCCAATGTCAACTCGAGTCTCTTCTGGGAAAGCTCCCGTTTGCTACAAGAGTGATAGCCCCTGGATGCAAATTGCAGATTGTGGTCACTTGCCAACTGGTACCGGCAGCCGTGTTACCTGATCAAGCTCTCCAAAGAGTGCCTCAAAGATCTTCGCCGATGGCCTGAGCTCCTGGATTAGCGGAACGGCCGGTCCTTCTTCCTATACCCTAAATGGACGCCGTCCCCCGACTTGCTGGTATTCACTGATGCAAGTGGTGCACTTGGCCGGTGCTCGTACAATTGCGACCGGGGATAGGGCGATGGACAGTCAATCAAGCAGAGCAGCAATCGCAAAGGGTTGTTTGCAATTGTGGCAGCCCGCAGCACCTGGGAAAACTAGCGGCATCAGCTGCGAATGCCAATCGATGGGCATTTACAGCAACTGCGAGGATATTGCTCATCAGTTGTGGCTTTGGCCTGGCGTTGTACACCGGCCACTCGTTTCGAATCAGCTGCGGGACTCGATATTCAGAGAGGCGGGAAGGTGGAAAGCGATGTCTGCCCGAGTAACATTCGGACGCCACCTGCAGCCAAAGTATGGGTGGCTGCGGCAATGGCCTCAGCCCATGATATCAAGTTCTGACAGTCTTTACCTAGCTTGCACCGCTTACAGATTGCACGGGTAGCTGCACTTTGTGATCCGCTCCGGGAGTGCCGATTTATGGAATATATGCTCTCAACTGGTTATGCATACCAATATATTTAGCATTTGGAGGCTCTACTCAGAGTCATTGGCGGCTCCATGCAGTCATTGGCGGCTCCATGCGGAGTCATTGGCGGCTCCATGCGGAGTCATTGGCGGCTCCATGCGGAGTCAATTTGGGGCTCCATGCGGGGTCATTCGGCGGCTCCATGCGGGGTCATTCGGCGGCTCCATGCAGAGTCATTCGGCGGCTCCATGCGAAGTCATTCGGTGGCTCCATGCGGAGTCATTTGCCGGCTCCAAGCAGAGTCATTTGCCGGCTCAGCTGCGAGCCATCTAGTGGCTCCAAGCAGAGCCATCATACCAGTTGCTCGAATCGGCACTCCCAGCTTAATCCAAAACTCGGTTGCTCTGTTGTGAGGTGGGGGGGATGCTAACCTAGGAATGGGTTTGCTCCCCACACTGGAGCTAGCGCTTTTCCGTCGACTTGACACTTGACGGACTCACGACTGCCATCCAGAGTCGCCACCACTATTTCTAAACCATACGGCTAATTATTTTAGTTAGCTATCCACTTACCGGTACAGTAAAACCTGTGACTACCGACCACCCCTTGGTGCCAGCAAAAGCGGTCTTTAGTAGCAGGTGGTCTTTAGTTAGAGGTTTGCACCGCGTGACCATATGTGGATCCCATTATATGATATGTATGTCAAAATGCAGCTAATACGATTCCCCAGGACTTGCGCAATGTCAGAAAGACGGAGAGATGGAGAGAGAGAGAGAGAGAGAGAGAGAGAGAGAGAGAGAGAGAAGATTAATTTTTTGCAGACTTCAAATTCAGCTGCTACTTCTGAAGCCAGGAGTCAAACGTTCCCTGGGGAAGTTTCGTTTCGCGCTGGGCTTCAAATTTGTTCATGCGATCAATCATACCGACTGTCCTTGTTGTGACTTCTGGATTGCTTGAACGCGATCCTTCAGCATCAGGACCTTGTGGTGCTGCTTTGTTTCTGGATTCCTTGATGCCATCGTCAATCCGTCTGTATGACTGGTGTGACAGAGCCGCCCAGTCTTCGTTTCTCCTCCGAGTAGTAACATCGATCAGAGAGCGCTTTCGATGCGCTCTCCAAGACGTTTCCTATCATGTTTTTTCTTGACAGCGCTTGAAATGTTGACAGGTGTAGTGCAGTCCACACCGACTCCACAGCCAAAATTACCTGCATTCATTTGTTCAGCTGCTGTAGTATCGAAAGATTCTTTTCAGGACCATGGAAAATCAGTAAAATTTCAAGAAGGAGCTTCGAGCAACATTTGATTTCCTACATCGCGGCCGCTAGTTACGGGTCAAAAATTGTGTTTGGGACAGGAAAAGGCGGTCGCTGGTCGCGTTCAGAAGGTAGTCGCTAGTCACAGTGCATTTTGAATGTGAGACCTTCCGTGCCTGGCGAAGTGGTTGGTAGTACCAGGCTGGTCGCTAGTGACAGTGGTCTTTAGTTACAGGTTTTACTGTATATCCCTTACCGAAATTGTATTCTTGAACGCAATATTCTTCTTTCTTTTTCTTCTACTCCGTTCCATCAGCACTCGGCCGATGGCAGGAGATTGGTACCCACTGGGCTAGCATGCAGCAGCCAAAGCTGGGGCCTTTTCTTACTCCGTCAAACCCACTTCTTAAAACAAAACTGACGTGCATATTCACATTGCATGTTGTGAATGTCCCCATATTTGCCCCGACATCTTAGCTCGTACAGCGCTCCAGATACATCTATGCTACGGTGCGCACCGCATACTCGAATTACGGTACGGGACACATACAGGATACTGCACCAACCATGGCATGCCACGTGAACCACCCTACCAGACACCGTGACACGCACCGAATTACAGCGGTGAGGATACTGGCTAGCGCCAGATGCTACTAAAGTACAACTGAATAGCGTCTTTTGCATAGCTACGGGAATAATCTCATATCCCAAGTATTGCAGCTCTGCTGATAGAATAATTCAGGTTACTCCCACTCCATTTCTCTAGTGCTTATTTTTCTGAAAAAATATTATCTTTGGCACCAGAATGCTGCCACCAAGAGTACATTAACCAGAGTGTGCAGCCCAAAGAGAATCATCCCACGGCAAAGTTTATTGTTTAGGGCATAGACTCGCAGTAACAGGCTCACCTTTGCTGCATCTCACTCCGCTTCACACGGTCATCTACTCTATCACCATGGTAATTTCTGTTGCACATTGCTGCTTGTTTAACAAAAACGTAGAAAACACACCGAATTTCCAGGTAATTGCCATGGTGATACGGTACTTTAGCTTGAACCTATTGTATGACGGGTTTTCTATGATTGATAATGACCCAGAGAGAAACTAAACCGGTATCGAATTCCAGTCAGCGACGCAATTCTTCTGAGGTGTAAAGTGACTTCAGGAATATGTTGCAGAAAACTGCGATGCATGCTGATTATTTAGTGTGCCCTATTGTGCACAATATACCAGGTGTGTTACTCAGGGATGAAGTAGATGCACACACGTGCCGGGCATCACGGCACAGGTTAGGTTTGCTACTAGCCGCTGCAGTGTACTTGTGGTCCGAACTTGCACTCTACTCAACTCTGCATACGCAAAGAGTGCTGGTGCCGAAATGAACCAGAAGGGTACTGAGTGGGACGCAACAACACTGACTCTGTCTACCCATGTACACAGATATGATAGGGTATGCAGTACCTGCTCTAAGATTTAACACAAACCGGGTACACGTCTACCTGGCACAATTCCTGCAACACTGGGCCAGAGCCAGATGCGTTCAAGTGCGGCTACTGTGTGTCAGGGAGTCGTAAACTTACTTTCGACTTCCTGATGTACATGATTGTACATGTACATGTATGAACGTACTCGCACTGGGCACTCTGGCCGCACGCATCTGCACGCGTATGCAGCCTGTCAGTGGCGGTATACCCTCGAACGGTATAAAAAAGTATAGTACTCGACAGGACTTCCGACCGGGTCTCAGGTAACCCAGTGTTCTTTTTCCAAAAGGTCCAAGTACTCACAAACAGGGCCACTGACCCGGCTCTGGAGCAGACACTGGTAATCTAGGTCCAAGTTTGCTCGATTATGTTCTGACGCTTCATGTGCTTTCATAGCCAAGGTTTCTCACTTTCTTCGCAAGCTCTTTTAGTCTTGAGAGTTGACAACTGCTTATGGTTGTGTTGGCAGAAAACATGTCAGCTAATCTGACAACCGGCCAACCCCATTTTACTGGTAAGTAGTCAGCGAGTGGCTTTGATGGGGCCATACAGTACTAGAGGGGAAGTTACGCGGCATATTTGTGCTCCCGTTTTGAAAACACGTTCTCGCTCGAAGGGTTTCTAAACTTTATCCCTGCGCTCATTGATGGAGTTCATCGATGGAGTTGCCAGCGGCACTCTACAGAAGAACAATGTTGTCAAGTTTTTTATGAAAAATTGTCAAACATTTTCAAATTGCTATAAGTTTGGTTAGGGCCGGGTTCCACTGCGGCTCCGCAGCTCCGCTGCTCCACGGTACTTGGCTGCATGCAGCAGAACGGCGCGGTTCCAGTGACACTCGCCATTCACGGTACCGCGATCGTGCTCGACGTTTTTTTATGACATTTAGCCTGCCTGCGCGCGCGTGAAATCCAAAAAAAATCCTCGTGTTCTGGCCTGTGCAACGAATTAAAATTCCCCCGAATAAAACAATTAAGTGCGGGAGACAATGCAAGCCGTGACCGCGGCTTGCATTTTTTTTGTATCAAGCAGCGAAGCGAAAGCTGGTGATGAGCCGCGGCCTCGCTGGACCAGCTCGTAATGATGACGTTTCATGCCGTGGATGATGTGCGGCGGAGCGGCAGTGAAACCCAGCCCTTAGGCAAAGGACATTTGTCATTAATTTGTTTATGCTGCATAGATGGAGAGCTGCACACTCTGGCTTATGGACTCTCGCCTACAGTGTAGTCGTACTGCTAGTGTACTGGCATTACAGAAGACACGAAAAACGAGAACATAGGTATGGCGAGAAAGTAATTACTGGCTAAGAATTGCCCTAAGACTTACCGCTTCTCAGTGCTCCATACCAGGAAGTAGTACACTACCTACTCCCTGCTCCATACGAGTGTTCTCTCCTCATTCTCTGCATCCTTTACCTCAGGAGTCTCGTCCATTTAGCGGCTCAAATGCTTGAGCTCCGGATAGCGGAAAATAGCTCGTCGTCCATTAGCGGCTCTAATAGTACCTGGTCTGAAGTGTCGCAGTCTAGCACAACTATGATTTTTTCCAGGAGGGTAAGGGTTGCAAACCCAAAGAGACCCTAAGCTTCGTCTATCAAACAAAACAATTGCCCTAAAAAATGGAAGAGGAAAAGAGTGAGCGAGCTGGTCTGAGCGCGCTACTTTTCAAAAAATAGAAGCTGAAAGCCATCAAAGTCAAAGCATTCTGGCTAGCGCGTTTGTGTATGTCACAAGCGCTAGCGCGCTAGTCGCAGCAAACGCTCGCAGGCCAGAGTTAGCGCTATTTGGGCTGTTTGCCGCACGCGGCAGCTGGATGGATCACGTGATCCAAGCTGACAAATAAGGTCCGATGGTTCAGCTACATTGAGCCACAAGCCTGAGCGATAGAGAGACTGAGACCGTACCTGTATGGAACGCTTGTGGCTCAATGTAGCTGAACCATCGGACCTTATTTGTCAGCTTGGATCACGTGATCCATCCAGCTGCCGCGTGCGGCAAACAGCCCAAATAGCGCTAACTCTGGCCTGCGAGCGTTTGCTGCGACTAGCGCGCTAGCGCTTGTGACATACACAAACGCGCTAGCCAGAATGCTTTGACTTTGATGGCTTTCAGCTTCTATTTTTTGAAAAGTAGCGCGCTCAGACCAGCTCGCTCACTCTTTTCCTCTTCCATTTTTTAGGGCAATTGTTTTGTTTGATAGACGAAGCTTAGGGTCTCTGGGTTTGCAACCCTTACCCTCCTGGAAAAAATCATAGTTGTGCTAGACTGCGACACTTCAGACCAGGTACTATTAGAGCCGCTAATGGACGACGAGCTATTTTCCGCTATCCGGAGCTCAAGCATTTGAGCCGCTAAATGGACGAGATTCCTGAGGTAAAGGATGCAGAGAATGAGGAGAGAACACTCGTATGGAGCAGGGAGTAGGTAGTGTACTACTTCCTGGTATGGAGCACTGAGAAGCGGTAAGTCTTAGGGCAATTCTTAGCCAGTAATTACTTTCTCGCCATACCTATGTTCTCGTTTTTCGTGTCTTCTGTAATGCCAGTACACTAGCAGTACGACTACACTGTAGGCGAGAGTCCATAAGCCAGAGTGTGCAGCTCTCCATCTATGCAGCATAAACAAATTAATGACAAATTTCCTTTGCCTAAGGGCTGGGTTTCACTGCCGCTCCGCCGCACATCATCCACGGCATGAAACGTCATCATTACGAGCTGGTCCAGCGAGGCCGCGGCTCATCACCAGCTTTCGCTTCGCTGCTTGATACAAAAAAATGCAAGCCGCGGTCACGGCTTGCATTGTTTCCCGCACTTAATTGTTTTGTTCGGGGGAATTTTAATTCGTTGCACAGGCCAGAACACGAGGATTTTTTTGGGATTTCACGCGCGCGCAGGCAGGCTAAATGTCATAAAAAAAACGTCGAGCACGATCGCGGTACCGTGAATGGCGAGTGTCACTGGAACCGCGCCGTTCTGCTGCATGCAGCCAAGTACCGTGGAGCAGCGGAGCTGCGGAGCCGCAGTGGAACCCGGCCCTAACCAAACTTATAGCAATTTGAAAATGTTTGACAATTTTTCATAAAAAACTTGACAACATTGTTCTTCTGTAGAGTGCCGCTGGCAACTCCATCGATGAACTCCATCAATGAGCGCAGGGATAAAGTTTAGAAACCCTTCGAGCGAGAACGTGTTTACAAAACGGGAGCACAAATATGCCGCGTAACTTCCCCTCTAGTACTGTATGGCCCCATCAAAGCCACTCGCTGACTACTTACCAGTAAAATGGGGTTGGCCGGTTGTCAGATTAGCTGACATGTTTTCTGCCAACACAACCATAAGCAGTTGTCAACTCTCAAGACTAAAAGAGCTTGCGAAGAAAGTGAGAAACCTTGGCTATGAAAGCACATGAAGCGTCAGAACATAATCGAGCAAACTTGGACCTAGATTACCAGTGTCTGCTCCAGAGCCGGGTCAGTGGCCCTGTTTGTGAGTACTTGGACCTTTTGGAAAAAGAACACTGGGTTACCTGAGACCCGGTCGGAAGTCCTGTCGAGTACTATACTTTTTTATACCGTTCGAGGGTATACCGCCACTGACAGGCTGCATACGCGTGCAGATGCGTGCGGCCAGAGTGCCCAGTGCGAGTACGTTCATACATGTACATGTACAATCATGTACATCAGGAAGTCGAAAGTAAGTTTACGACTCCCTGACACACAGTAGCCGCACTTGAACGCATCTGGCTCTGGCCCAGTGTTGCAGGAATTGTGCCAGGTAGACGTGTACCCGGTTTGTGTTAAATCTTAGAGCAGGTACTGCATACCCTATCATATCTGTGTACATGGGTAGACAGAGTCAGTGTTGTTGCGTCCCACTCAGTACCCTTCTGGTTCATTTCGGCACCAGCACTCTTTGCGTATGCAGAGTTGAGTAGAGTGCAAGTTCGGACCACAAGTACACTGCAGCGGCTAGTAGCAAACCTAACCTGTGCCGTGATGCCCGGCACGTGTGTGCATCTACTTCATCCCTGAGTAACACACCTGGTATATTGTGCACAATAGGGCACACTAAATAATCAGCATGCATCGCAGTTTTCTGCAACATATTCCTGAAGTCACTTTACACCTCAGAAGAATTGCGTCGCTGACTGGAATTCGATACCGGTTTAGTTTCTCTCTGGGTCATTATCAATCATAGAAAACCCGTCATACAATAGGTTTAAGCTAAAGTACCGTATCACCATGGTAATTCCTGGAAATTCGGTGTGTTTTCTGCCTTTTGTTAAACAAGCAGCAATGTGCAACAGAAATTACCATGGTGATAGAGTAGATTACCGTGTGAAGCGGTGTGAGATGCAGCAAAGGTGAGCTTGTTACTGTGAGTCTATGCCCTAAACAATAAACTTTGCCGTGGGATGATTATCCTTGGGCTGCACACTCTGCACACTTATTGCTAGGTATATCATTGGTCTTGTTCGAATCGTCCATTACGTTTGCAGCTGTTCAAACTTGTTTTGTTGTTTATTATTTTATTGATTTATTTATTCTACTTGCCTTTCCTATCTTCTTGTGTTTAGCATTAGGCGATTTGATCGCAGGACAAGAGAGGAGCTGATGGACGATCTCTCCAGTGTCCCTCTTGGTTCGGAGCAGCGCCGAGTGCTGACGTTGGGACTTGGGTAAGGATGAGTGTTCCCTCATGTTTACAAGTTATCCGTTTTGTCCAACACTAACAGTTATATGCAGAATACTGCTGAGTCAAAAATGTGCAACAATTAGCACAAAAACTGACTGATGAGATCATGACATTCAACGACCTGATGCTTAGCTGCATCACGTTTATATCCGTTAGTGATGGACAAAACGGATAACTCGTAAACTGATGGTCCTCTTTTTCAATTTTAATCCTTGGCTCTCCATCCGAGTTCCCTCGTGTGTGTAGCTATTATTATTTTTTTGGTGACAGTCAATTTTTTCTTCAGACTTTTCCCGTTTGTGTCTTTCCCTCAAACTAGTCAATATTTTTATTTACTTATTTTTTTGCCCAGGGTCTACATTCTACCTTTATTTTACTTAGACTAGGGTTAGCTGTCCGTTTACCAGTACTCATCCACACATATGTGCACATAGGGTCTACACAGAACTCTATCAGTAGATATTTTGTGTATAGGAGGTTGTCTATCCACCGAGATAGCACTATATACTCCCATTCTGTGTGTTCTCTGGTAGCTATGTCCCTTGGAGACTATACGGTGCCAGTGTGGTGACCGAGATCAGGCGTGTCTGCACTGGCATCGTCAACTTTGCCTACTGCTACGTGCTCCCCAGTGCTCCATCTGTGTCCTGTAATTTGTTTGGGGAGGGGGGGGGGGGGGCAATACCGGTACTTCAGGTGCAGGGGGCAAGGGGGAATGGGGTGGGGGACATCATGCCCCCAATGAGCCTCTCCAGGCGTTGTTCTGGAGTAGACTAACCATAGGCGGAGTGTACACATGCAGCACATAGTTTGGGAGCTAGAACGCAATCGGACTCAGGCATATTCAAAGGCAGTCTATTGTGATAGTAGTCCTGGACTGATCTCACTATGATGATATAGGTCGTGCCCAGCATCACAATGCCAAACATTATAAATGACTGTTTTTTTTGCCTGAGGGGCTAGATGAGCATGCGGCTAGACTGCCGATGGCAACCAACAGGCTCAAGGCTGTGTTGAGACTTCGTGTGAGCGACCCGAGTCAATTGTGTACTTACCATGACTAGGCATCGCATTGAGCATCGTATGCCCACTAATATAATATATTATGTCACTGTTCTTAGTCGCACCGGGGGCGCATGCCCGTTTTCAGGAGACTTCTCAAAACACATAAGCCCTGGGTCCTGAAGGTTAGGCCTATTGTTAATCTAAATAGTCCTGGCTACTATCCCGCTGAGTTCACTGACTTTCTACTGAACCCGTATGTATGTGAGGAAAGTACTGTTCTGACCTCAACTGCGGATTTCATCAACTTGGTAGAAGGTTTGCCTGTGCGGGACGATCATTTATAATTGAGCATAGATGTGACCAGCCTTTACTACACCAACATCCCCAACGACCTCGGTTGTCGTGGTATATCACACACAGGTGTACAAGGTGGATGCCCCTCGCCCTTCGTACATGGTTATTAACAGCAGTGACTTCCTTGATGTCAGTCATTCGGAAGAAAAATGAGTTCGTGTATGGTAACGATGTGTTTCGGCAGATCCAAGGGACTGCCATGGGTTCGCCTGCAGCAGTGGTCTATGCCGACATTGTTATGCTGTATTTGGAGAAGCAGTACGTTTTGCCGATCTTAGAGGGGGAGGGTTTAGAGGTTCAGGTTTATAGACGCTTTATCATTGCATGGTTGCGAAGGTCAAGCTCAGCGCACTTTAGATAGGATTAATAAGTGTTCGGCCCTCAAGTTTTCTCATGAACTGGCACATGATGGCATTGATTTCCTGGACACCACAGTTTTCCGTAGTAAGGGATACATGGCGGTGAAGCCTCATTTCAAGTTCACCAATCGTTTCCTGTATCTGCTTGTCGGTAGTAACCACCCCTGTAGTATGGGCAAAGGTGTGTTCACTGGGGAGTTGATCCGTATCCGTCGGTCTTCGACCCTTGACCACCACTACGAAGCTGCTGCCGAGCGGCCGAAGCAGGCTTTCCAGGCCCGTGTATACAAGCGCTCCATCTTTCATCTTTCAGACCCGTACACTAGGAATGGATGCGCAGGGAAGGTACTAGTGTTGGTCAAATTGGCATGGGTTTGGGTTATTTCTGTAGTTGTATACAGTGCTCCTCATTGTATTTACCTGGGCCCGGCCTGCTGTCCTTCGCCCGTTGGTCTTGAGGTCCAGGTGTAATACCCCTACCATACAGTCCGGTGGCCAGCGCGGTTGTTGTTACACGGTGGAACATCGGCAAGAGGTTGCTTGCTCGTTTGCCTCATGCTCAGTGTCCTCAGGGAGTTAGTATTTTCCTCCTGTTTGGATTTTGCAGTGTCTATGGTGTCGGTAATTGAGTTTTTGTTCTGTATGCTTTTCTGTGGTGTGTGGCTGTTGTTCACACATCTTTATTTGACTTGCTTCCTGGTGTGGTGTACCTTTTTGTTTTATATTGGTGTTGGTCTGGCTGTAGAGTTCTAGCATCCGTAGCTGCCTCAGGGGGTGCCACTTCTCCCATCAGCGTCGACTAGTCCGCCGGTACGTGGTGCTATATTACGTTTAGTTGTCTGTTCCATCCTGTACGGGCTGTGTCCTGCTGACCACACAGTCTGGGTCTCCATACTTTGCATGTTCTCATCGTGTGTAGTGTTCACACGTACATATATGGACTGTCACACCCATATGTTGTACATGTGGCTGCACGTGTTGTCTCTTTGTCGTACCTGCTGCTGTATTTGTGTTTCTGTGATGCTGACCCGTTCATGCTGCTGCGCTGCTTTGTTGTATTGCTGACACGTGCACCTTTTTGTGCTGATATGATATCGAGTACGCCACTTTTTGTGCTGATGAGGGCACCACTTTCCGATATCATGTTTCCTTTCGCCATGTCAGTTGTCAGTTCTCCCGTCGTCTCCTGAAGTGTAGTAATGAATAGCTCTCTCTCTAGCTCTAGAGAAAAACCACTTGACTAGTCCGTTTGATGTGTGGCGTGGCGAGGGTATAGTAGAGGCAGCTCGTTCTCCAACCGAGACGACATTTGGCGCCCAACGTGGGGCTCAAACCCACGACCCTGAGATTAAGAGTTTCATGCTCTACCGACACATATATGCACGTGGCACCGTTTGTGCTCCTATCCATTTACATATGCTGCTTTCCACACCTGTGCTGACAGTCGGTACGCACCGACTCTGTACGCATGCACGCACAACATTACATTCTGTTGGCATCATATTAGTGAGGTTTTGCATTCCAAAATTCGGCAAAAGATTCGGCACGCGGGAGCGAGGTCGAAAATGCACACGAAGATGCGGCATGTTTGTTCGGAAAAAGCTCACTTTGCCGAACATATTTTTCGGATGAATTTTCTTGTGGAAGAGCGCTAGCGCGTGATTTATTCAAAGAGGTTTCTTATCTTGGCATGGCTTCGCAGGCGTCTTTGACGACATCAGCATCGTCAGCTACCTCTGATTGCTCCTCTCCACTGCCTGTCTACTCTCTTTCGCCTGGAGTGTCCTCACCGTCATCTGTGTGGCTGAAAAGACTATGGCGATACCCATAAAATTTGACTTGGCCATGGAGTTGGTTTTTCTGAGGCGACTGAGGAGGCAGGTTTGGCCCTCGACTCTTTGAGCGCGATCAAAGTTTGTCGGAATCAGCAAGAAAAGGAGCACGGGACAGGACATTGCTGATGCTGGGGCTCACGAAACACATCATTTTCGACTTGCAAAACAAACGTCGGTGCGAAAATTCGACATTTTGATGTTCGACAAATTACCAAAGAACGCCAAGCCGAAATTCGGAATGCAAAGCCTCACTATTGCGGAGCTTTCCGGAGCTCCGAGTTAGTTGTTGTTTGGAATACAGCAAGAGAACAACATTACATTGGCGCTGCGAGCAAACGCCTGATCCTCGCCATGTCCCTACTGTCACTACCGCCTCCGGAGCCATTCCCGATCTACAGCAGTCTCTACGATGCTGCTGCCCATTTTCCTGCCTGGGAACGGTGTTTCCAACTCTATGTCGCAGCAGCCGGCATCTCGGATGACACTCGCCAGAGAGACACTTTCCAGTATGTGGCCGGCAAGGACATCCAGCAGCTCGTCCCTACGTTAGCCAACACTGGCAACGATCTCGACGGCCTCATAACCGCCGCCGCCGACTACTTTCAGTCGAAGCAGAGCCCCAGCATGGCCCGCTTCCACTTCCGGCAGGTCACCCAGCAGCCTGGCGAAACATTAGACACGTTTTATACTCGTTTGCTGGCATTGGCAACGACCTGCAGCTTCGCCGACGATGCCCAGAAGAACGTGGCTCTCTGTGATCAAATTGTGGCAGGATGCACGTCCGATCCACTCCGCAGAAAACTGCTGGAGACTGGGTCCCTTGATCTCGCCAAGGCGCTCAAGGCCGCCAGAGCATTTGAAGCGTCAGTGGAACAGACGACGGCGTTCCGGCGCACACAAGACTCGATCAATGCCCTCCGTCATCAGCCACCGTTCTACAAAAGGACACAGCCGCCTCCTGCTACTGTTTCAACTCCGTCGCGTCGACCGATGCAGTCTTCGCCACATCCAGCTGCAAACTCGTACCACCAGCCACCTGCCCCAGTCGCCACTCGCGCTCCAGGCCGGCGGGAATCCAGCACATCGCTCTGCTACCGCTGTGGAGAGCCAGGCCACCCTGAGTCACGTCGCTACGCAGTTTTGCACTGTAAACGTCTGCCCATGGGCGTATCGTCCGCATCCGAGATCCTACAGCGCACACTGGACGCCATGGCTCGCTGGCCTCGACGGTGTGAAGAACGTCCACGACAACATCTTCAATTTTGGTAAGAGCGTCGAAGAGCACAACCGACGACTCGCCGCCTGCCTCCAGCGGCTCTAAGATCACAACGTTACACTCAACCGAGCCAAATGTCACAAATGTCACATCCTCAAGCCTCGGCTCAAGTTCATGGCTAGCGTCTACTCCGACAAGGGCATCCGCGCCTCTCCCAGCCACCAGCAGTCTGTGGCTACATTCTCTACGCCATCTTGCGTCAGCGACAAACAGAGTTTCCTGGGTCTCACCAACTTCCTCCGCCGTTACATTCGTAACATGGCCGATCTCACCACGCCACTCCCTGCTCTCACTAAGAAAGGTACTGTTTGGCGTTGAACTGATGTTGAGCAGCAATCATTTGATGCACTGAAGAAGGCCATCGCCGAAGACTGCATGCTGCAATACTTTGACCGCAACAACACATCACTGTATGTCGACGCACCGACCTCGGCGCAATCCTGTGTCCACGCCAAGACAACGGCCACGATGCACCTGTAGCATTCGCCAGCCGTGCACTCTCCGGCGTCGAGCAGCAATATTCTCAAACTGAACGGGAAGCATTGGGTGTCAAGTTTGGCTGCCTTCGCTTTCACCACAACTTGACAAGGTGATCCACAGTTCACCGTTGTCACCGACCACAAGCCGCTCCTGCAACTCAAGGCCGTCGGATCGAGACCTCCACCATGAATTGAGCGCATGGTCCTCCGCCTGCAGGATCTCAGCTTCCAGCTTCAGTACAAGCCTGGCCCAGAAAACCCGGCCGACGTCGTCAGTCGCAATCCGCAGCCTCATCCCGACTTGCCAAACATCGGCGCACAGGAAGACACTGCGTACATACATGCCCTAGCTACAGCAGCTAAGCCGAATGCGTTGGCTCTGAAGGAGATTGCGGACGCCACCACCGCAGACACCACACTGCAAGCCATCCTTTCCTCTCTGCAATCTGGCCGCTGGGATTCCAGCCACACCACGGTCCGCCCGTACTTTGCCCTCCGCCATGAACTGTCTGAGAGTGACGGTCTACTACTCCGCAACGACCGTCTCGTCATTCCCACGGCCCTCCAACGGCTTACCCTGCAGCTTACACATGCGGGCCACCAAGATATTGTCCGCACCAAGCAACGGCTCAACAGCAATGTTGGGTGGCCCAACATGGCTACTGAAGCCGAAGCACTCTGCCGGCAATGTAATCCGTGCCAAGCAACTCTCTCAACGACACCGCTACGTCCGGGAGTCCGTGCCCACACCACCGTCCACCAAGCCGTGGCAACGAGTCTTCGTCGATTTGTATGGACCCATGCCAAACGGTCAGCACCTGCTTGCCACTATCGACCAGTTGACTCGCTACCCGGTCATCAACGTGTTCAGCACGACACCCACTACGGCCGGTGTTGTAGCTCTGCGCTCTACATTATCCATGTTCAGCTTGCCCGAAGAGCTAGTCTCGGACAACAGTCCTCAGTTCCGTTCTTCGGCTTTTGCTGATTTCCTCGCGCAACACGCTATCCAGCACCGCCACACCCCTCCTTTGTGGCCACAAGCAAACGGAGCAGTCGAGTGCCTCAACCGTACCATTGGCAAAGTTCTGCGAACTGCCAAACTAGCTGGCGAAGACATCAATGTTGCATTTGACCAATGGCTCCTAGCGTACCGCACCACGCCACACCCTGCCACTCACGAGGCACCGGCAACACTCATGTTTGGTCGCCCCATCCGCGACAGCATACCCTGCATTACGGCAGCCGCACCAGACTTGCCTTCAGCTGCCCACCGTGACCAGCAATTCCGCCAATCCCAGTGCGACGCTGCCAATGCCACCCGCCGGTCAAACGCCCCCATCCTCACTCCTGGTCAGCGCGTCTTACGCCGCAATGAGCAGGCACACAAGCTCTCACCACAGTGGGATCCCAACCCCTGGACCGTGGACCAGATCTCTGGGTCTACGGTGACGATCTCCAACTCAGCAACTGGCCAAAGATCGACTCGCCATAATTATGTCGTTCGTCAAGCCCGTAATTGTTGTCACACAGACAGCCCATCACCCACTACCAGCGGAAAGTTCTGCCACCACACCTTACAAAATTACAACAAAATCACATGCAAGAAGTCCTTTCACTTTGACTACTGCTCGTTGCGTGACATCACTCCTCACCAAAGGACTTCCTGGGGATCACAATCCTAAACAGACAAATGTACGAATACCGCAACTGACTCTGTTGTTCTGCACGCCACGATCAACACGACTGCGTGCAAGACACAGCTGATCATCATCGCTGTACTCTTCCCTGAGCACGTTACCCTGTCGCTGCAGCCTGCGACGGACATTCCATAGTTCCACCAACTTGATGGCTTGATGTTCCCATTGACGTCGACCATGCGGTGTTGCCATTGACGACCTTCAACTTCAGGTCCTTGCCGTGGTCCGCACCATTCAAGAGATGGGCCACATTTGGTGTACTTTCACCCAGTTGGTCACTTATTTTAACCTTGCCGACTTTCCACTGCCGGACTGTTGCTTCAACAACTGGCGGAGACTGCGGCACATACGCATATCATCACTCTTCCTTGCAAACATCATTTCCGTCTCCACCACGTCCTTATCAGCCTGATCCATGCCTGACACCCCCAAGGCACTGTCCACTGTGCCGCCGGGCTGGTGGAGCGACGGACCGATTCTCCAGTGACGGTCGTCGTCCACAAGGCTGTTGGAGTGCGCATCCAAGATGTGCTAGAGCTGTTCAGTGTCGTGCAATAGCTATCGCATGAGCTGATTGTTTAGTAACTGGTGGTGTTAGTGGACAGTATAGCGTAACTTGTAGTTCCTTGGTCTTTCTCTTTTGTATAAACAAACTAGTAAGCTAACGATAAACTAGTTACACTGAGACAATTCGACTGGCACAAATTACAACAAAATCACATGCAAAAAGTCCTTTCACTTTTACTACTGCTCGTTGTGTGCCAACCACCATCATCAGTGTGCGCATTGGGCCTGGTTTGGTGCATGCCTGGTGGAATCTGACATAGCGGCTGATGCAGTGAGCACGTCAGGTAACACCTAACGCATTGAAAATGACTCAACTATGACTTGGTTCGATTGCAAAAAACCTAATGATAGTGGTACCGAAACATTCGGGTAACCGGAGTAAGTGCCAATTGATATTTTTGGCTCCAGTCAGTCAAGTGATTCAATTGCAATAAAATTATATACGTATGGTGGAACTCACTTAGTACGTACCCGGGTAAGACATACACCTGCATAACACGGTCCTCTTTTGTCGCACGGATTTTCCTCCCATAAGCGCATATTCAGATGTGTACGGATACGACTGCTTCCTTCTGTTCATGTGGTTCATTGTCGCTGTGTTACTGTATGCAGATCTCACTCAGCTCTGCGAGCATGCTGCTTCCAACACGACTTCCCGAAAGGTATGTATGGTGGCTAATAAATAATGCGAGAGTCTTTACGGATTCCAGTGCTCTCATGCCTTTTGCAAGTTCCTTTTGTAAGTCAAATGGAACATGGTTTGTGGTCAATACTTCAGCAGTAGTGGTGCGAGAATATTCGGGTGTCAAATTGCTCGGAATTGATGTATGATAACGGAGAATATACCAACATGTGAATCACTTGGAGATATGGTTTGCCAGGTTCTATTCACACTCACTAGGCTAGACCCTCTCGAGTATTGTACAACAGTTTTGGCCCAGGAGTTGTAAAGGGCACGGGGCAAGCTATGTCGGGACCTGCTGTAAAGTCTGCCATACACGAGCTGTACGTCTTATCGGATGGGATATACCCCTGATATTGCTGATAATGAATGGCCCGGTTTCATTGTACTGCTGTCCGCGATATTATATCCTTAGTGGCATTGTTAACTTCTCATTGCTTGTGGGGACGCATGGATCATACGTCCATCCAACACCTGCCAATCGGAACCCACCGACAACGCTGTCGGTTGGGTTGGACCACAATCGGTTGGTTTTTGAGTCCAAGATGCCACCTAGGTAGCACACAGCATTGCTAATCTGATTTTAAATTAGCTGCGCAAATCCTGGCATACTGCCCGTAAATGCATCTAACTCCCAGGGTACTTATGAGTTTTTAGGTCTATGTGGTACTTGTGTCGCATTGGCAGCCACTGTTCCGTTCTGTATTTTCTGGTGTATGTGTCGTTGAATCTCCACAGAAAATGTGCTCGCGCATTAGAAGGAGGTGAAAGATGCACCTGCAGGAGAATACATGCTTAAGAGAAGGCAGAAACATGCCCGGATCCACCAGAACTAGTGCTGGCAAGTCAACAGAGGCGAGTACTGATAATGTTCCAGATTGTGGTAGGATCACATAAGCAAAATTGACACTGGGAGGCACGGCGGTGGGTCAGCTCATGGCCAGCTCCAGTGGATATCACGTGCATCCAGTTCTAGTACTATAGTATGACTGCTACAAAGTAGTGCGGCCCAAATAGAACTCGGGTCAGGTGCCGAAGAACTGGGGGGTGGGGGGGGGGGGCATGTATCAATGAATGGTAATAACTCCGGAAATCATGCTGGTGTATCGACGGCGTGGGCCAATGAAGTGCTGGATTGATGGTGGACGACTGTACTGCAATCTTGGCTGGTCCCACTATCGCAGAGACAGCACTTCCTGGTGCAACCACCCTATCCTGCAATCTATATAATAATTATTATAAGAGATTTGTGTGAACGAGTTTAGCATGATGCAAGTCAGCTTATTGTGCTGGGGGCCTGGCTACATGTCACTATAGCTTTTTATAGACTCGATCACCGCATTACGCTGCCTTGCGTTGACTTGATTGAGCACTCTTTTTGGTTAGTGTCAAAGGTATATGTAATATGTATCTGCCTTCGTGCAAAGCTCTCTTTGTGCGTGTCTTGCAGATAGCTCGCTGACTTTGATGCTTTGAGCCATTTTCAAATTGCTTTTTTTGTTCATTTCATATAGACCGTATTGCCATTTGTTTAACCTCCCGCTCTTAGCTCCACTGATGGGACCTAAAAAAAGGCTGAAACAGCTGTCTGGAGATTGAGCGTCAGTATTATGGATTTAGGATACACGATCTGGGGACAGCACTAGTACTGTCTAGCTGTTTCGTCCTTTGTGGACTCATTAGCGAATCACGGAGAAATAACTCTTAACTAAGGATGAACCTAGCAGCCATGAAAATGGATAAATAATGCCTCCAAGCCAGAATTCAAGGCTACATGTGTAGGCCCGAATGTGCCTTGCCCAAGTGCTGAAACTGATAAGTCATTGAGATACGCATAGAACATCTGGCAAAGGAACTACTAAAGCCCCCACAAGCACGGTATTCTACTTCAACAAGGAAGAATTTTGAAAGCATGCACAGCCCTACATGTATAATGTTGGTATAGGTAAGCCTTGTTTGATAAATTAACATGACAAGGCGGGGGACGCACTGTGTTAAAAAACAGTGCTCCTGATACTCTAGTATGTCCTCGGCTTTGTCACATGCTGTCAACCGATCAACACATACAACGTTGCATGCAAAACGGCTGCAGCCTCGAAGTACGGAGTGCTATTTTGGAAAATGCTAGATGTACAGCCTGTACTTATACAGGTGTTCTATCAACTAGTGCCATTATGACAACGGTAGCTGAATGATACATGTACATACACCCGGGGTCATCATTTCAAGAACCTCTGGGTCTAAGCCCGAAGTAACATTCAACTACATGACTGTATACACCATCATGTATACACCATCTTCGTAGTAACTGAGTCTACCCCTCACCCACTACTGCCACTGTGACCACAATTGCGCACAAACAGAGGACCTTAGAGGACCTACTTCTAACTACAGTGCTGGCCAAAGAAATCCAACCTTATGAATAAAATTGCACCGGGCGCTACGCAGCCCTAGTAGTAAACATACTGGACCGGTCTGTGCTCTCGAACGCGGCGCTACTTTATTAACGAGGTTGGATTTCTCTGGCCAGCACTGTACAAAATACACACATGCACACACAACACTGCTAGGCTTTCCACCACCACACTAGGTTTTGAAACCGAAGAGTGGCAAAATTCAGGGCCAGACTAGAAAATCTGGGGAGACCTGATGGTTTTTTAAAGCAAAACACAGCCAACACTCTGCAGCTTCACAGCCTCCGGCAGGTTTTCCCGAGCGCACAAAATTAAAAGTTGTTGAGGCACCACGAATACAGTCGGGCGTCACAGAACGTGGGACCCAGGAATGTACGTGTATACCTCTAGGTACACCACAGCCAATAACGTTTTAAAAAGAAACGAGGTGCCAATAGACTCGAGTCTCTGCTTTTCTGGAATACAGATTCTGCTACACACGTATTGCTCACTATCCAGTGGGATGTGCATCTAAGAAAGTGGTACAAGAAGTCAAGGAACTAAGCCTAAGGCCAGATTGCTGAAAGGTTTTGTATAACTGACGAGCCTGACCCCTTGGAAACAACAGCTGTGGATGCGTGGCTCTACTGTAATAAATGTACAGGTACACAAACAATTTGAATGCAGAAATAACAACAACAAACAGGGAGAGGTGTAGGAAAATATACTCGGCCCCTAGTGAATTTGCTTGTGTATTAGCTTGAAAACTTTGGGTACACTTCTTGAGAGACCTAACTGCATGCAGCTAAAATATGGAGTGCCGTTGTCACCGACGACTTTTCCAGTAAAGTTGCGGCTAACATCTTCTCAGGTATTCCCGGGTCTTCGCTAAGGCCGTAAGGGTGGATGATATCATGTGCGTCTTCTATTGCTGATGTCGCTACACTCGATGGTGGTGCTGATGTACTGATTGTGGTGGAAGATATTGAGATGCCGTATGTCTCGAACCTTTTCGCTAGGTCTCCGCGGCCATCGCGCAAGAGGGTCGGGAGCACCACAACTGCAACGCCACAGATCCAAGGATCGATTCTCGGACAAAACATTCTTCAGATTGCCAAAGGTCCCCAGTGCTTGGCAATACTGGCCTGTACAGCATGAACACACCACACATACGCCCACACACCATGTACCATGTAAACGCCCGTTGCAGGAGAAGCACGCAAATCTGCAAATTAATTGGATGTGCACCCACAGATTTTCTCGTATAGGAACAATAGCTGATCTGAATCTGAATAAAACAGATCAAGACTAGTGCCAGATAACAGTCTAATCCGCACAAGGCAACTGGCGCAGCCATGTGAATCTCGAGCAAAATGGACAAACATGTCCCCAATTATCAGCAAACGGGTGTGCGTTACAGGATTGGCCTGGCAACTTCAAACAGGCACAATCCACTAACGTGGTGCCCCGTCAACTTCAACGGGAACACACCGATACAAACACAGCCCCACAACAGCAAAACGGGAACGCCGTTACAAATATGGTGCCCTGGCAACTTAACGGGAACGCACCAACACAAGCTGGCCTGGCACCTTCAAACAGGCACAACTGACAAAACACGGCATCCGGCAACAGCAAATGGGTAGGTACACCGTTACAAGAACAGTCCATCGCACCAAAATGCTGCTGCCACAACATTATAGCAGCAGCACGCCAGACATGCATACATGGCATTCCCAAAAGCCGATACCTGGAGTCAAATTCATCCATCACACTGTTTGTTAGGGCTGAATTTTCCAGTGACAATAGCAAATCCCGCCTAAGGCTCATGTGATGAGATCTGTACACCAACAGTTTCAGGGTATATTCTAGGACGAATTTCCAACCGGTTACGGTACAATGAGGAGTCGGGGGGTCCCCCTCCGGAAATAGTTTTCAAAATACAACCCAAATATGACACTCGACAGCAATTTAACAGATTTCTTGGTGCTGGAGTGTCGCGCGGAGCTGTTGGACTGTAGCAACGCCGTTGCTACAGCTCGATGACGTGGTTCGACCGTACAAACCATACAAACTCGTGACCCTAGTACCAGCCCACGCGGCTTCGTTGGAAGTATCCATCCAGAAAAAAGCGTATGACCATTCACAGCTCCATTCACCCACAGAAAAGTACGGGCGGTTGGAACTGATTTGTAACTTTTCAACCGGTCGCCAACTATTTCAACCGGTCGAAAACCGGTTGGGGCGGTTCTAGAAAATTCCCTGCAACTATAGTCACAGTATCAATGCACATTAGTAGAGCATAAGAACTCACTTGCGCTCATACCCTGTCACGTAGAGATGCTACTCTACGTGTACTGTTCCGATGTCCATTGGGGTGGTATGCCGGCCACTTGCCAGATGTAGAGCTTTTAAGCCGTACTTTGCCACCGTCTGCTTGCCGTATCACCACCTCACTTGCAACTCTGGATTCCAGGACTGTCGCTCCAACAATGGGCATGGAGCAGGAGCTAACCTGATAACAGTTGAGAGCGTGACAGAGTATCTTATTTAAATAAGGCCGAGTAAGGTGGATCCCTTTGGCAAAAGTGAACACAGGCTTGGTGCTACAGGCATGGGCTGTCATGTACCGGAATAGCCAATACCGGGCATGTTTGGTCGACAGTAGATGGAACTGCGACGGCTCCACCGTATATGGCCGCGTCTAAGTGACCTTCAGGCGCAACGTGACCAAGTCAGGTGCGAGACTCCCAGCCTCCCACACAAATACTCTTTGGCTGTCAAACGAGTGAATACTAGTAGATGATGCTAAATACTCGCTGGCAAACAATAAGCCATACAAGGCCAGTAGTATACTTACCCACAGCATAGCCTGATCTACAATATGACTGATTGGATCGTTGTAAGTATTGCCGAAAATGGATTAAGTCGTCCACTAAAAGCTCTTTGAAACTCGGATGTTGAGCCAATATGGCAATAATAAAATTAATGTAGAAAGGAAAAGAACGTATGGATATGAGTGTAGAGTAACTGTCACTATATACTAAATACAGTCAGAAAGTGCAACAACCAGGCACTAAAACATTTGACGACCCGACTCCTGGCTTCAACACATCTCCGTAGTGTTAAGGAGAGACCAAAGAGGGAAAGGTAATACTGGTTTCGTCATCGTCCAGTAACAATCAACATTTCTTGTTCTTGTGGGACTGTAGCTTCAACTACTAGCTTGTGCTCATTTTCGTTGCGCTTACCTTCCCCTCTTTGGTCTCTCCTTTTAACCTTGAACCTTCCAAGTTGGAAGGCTGTTGGTTAGCGCTACGGAGATGTGTTGAAGCTAGGAGTCAGGTCGTCGAATGTCTCAGCACTCTGTCAGTTTTGTGCCTAGTTGTTGCATTTTTTTACTGTAGTAGCTAGTTACAGTGGTGGACAGTTACTCTTAACTCGTATCCATATGTCCTTTTCCCTTCTAATAAAAGCTCTATCCGCAAATATGCCGAGGTGGCTTGCCGTATCTCCCTCTATGCCATGCAACACAACTGTTGAGCGAGCAGCTTTTAGGCCAGCCCCATTGCACAACAGGTAATAGGCTACTAATAGCGTAACGCAGCTAGGTAAACACGAATCGATGAAAGAGGCAGACTTCTTAGAACAAAGAGACTAGTTGTGAAGGACACAACATTTTCAGCAGTCAGCAGTAGGAGAAATTGCTCTTAATTATGCAGCAATACTAGGCTTACACGTTTGTGTCATGCGTTCTGAGACGGAGTCCTTGACTAGCTCGTCACTGGCCGCACTCAGAGCAGCAGTCGTCACTACACATGGGTTGGGAAGCAATGGACAAAATTAACACTTGCCATGCACACATGCACTGCTTACCAGCTAAGTTAATATGTCATACTGTACTGCAGCAAGCAAGGAACTGGCAATACCTGCACCAGGCCTATCTACTGTGACCCATGCCATTGTGAATGAAAAGAGGCAGCATTTGACAGTATGAGCGGTGTGATGAACGGGAATGCATAATACAAGCCAGTCGAGCATTGGTACATGTACTTACGGACGCAAGTTGGCTGCACACCGCTCCACTGGCCGTTGATTTCACAAGTACACACGGCCGAGCCCATAAGGACATAGGGAGACTGCACACAAACGTGGTCGTGTTGCTGAACATCAAGCCGTTCACGGTCATCGAGCCCAGTGCCGGTGGTGTCAGGACCTGGCAGTCGGTTTGACCTGCACAAGCACAGAGTGCACAGAGCACAGAGCACAGGCATTCAGTGCATGCATGTTTGGCCTAGGGGTGATACGAGTGCCAAAATTGAGGACTCGAGTACTCTTTGAAAAAACGAGCGAGTATTCGAGCGAGTACGAGTATTTTACTGACAACATAAAACAATGTACTGCACACACTCTCGTAACACTGAACGTATTACACCTGACACATGTAGTCTTGCATGCAGCCTAGTGCAGGAAATAGTCTGAACTACGTCTTTTGTTGGTAAGTAGGGACAAGTAATAATTTCACACTTGCATGGGTTATCAGTACTGGTCAGAGTAACAGACGTGCTTGATGTACAAGCATACAGTACACTGTGCATAAGATACTTGAGTATTTTGCGAAACGAGTCCTCACTCCTTTCGAATTTTCGAGCAAACGCTCGAGTATTCGATATACTCGTTTCATCCCTAAAACGTTTGCGTATGTGTGCGTGGCACAGACATTGGTTTTGAATACATTGTAGTACACGCATTGTGTAAAGGAAATTGATGCGAAGACTGCCTCAACATGGCCATGCAAAGTAATAAAATAAATACAGCAGTGAATAGCAGTCAACAGTAGCTCTACATTTTGCTTGTAATAGAAGTCATTAGCGTCAGAGCAAGAAGAGGGACAAGACGAGTCAAGGGACAATCCGGAGGACGCAATATCATACGACCAACTGTTTGTTTCTACCAGCGTTATTGTACCGTCGACACAGCTCTGACGACGATATACTGGGCGAATGCCGCGGGGCCTCCCAGCGTGTCAACGGCAGTGGGTGATGGGCAGATAACAAGGTAGCTTGCGGACAACATCGGTGGCATGAAGCCTAGTGACTGCCAAGCGTCTTGGCGCGACGGGCGAGCAGTACAGTGTCATGCCCCAGGGGCTGCTGTAGCTGTCGACGTCGGCGGGTCTTGAGGTGCGTTCGCAGGCCTTCATGGCGCTCGGACAACTGCAATACTAGTACACAGACTCTCACTACTAGCTACATAGTACTCTGATTCTGGCACCTTATTTCTGCATTGAATAGTGATTGATTTTCCGCGCCGAATATCCGACGCTGCATGCATGTCCAATGCGCGTCAACAGTACTTCACACTTTCCTTTTCCCGCGTTATCACCTCAGCTATGCCAGTTTTGTATGTGGAAACCCCCTATATAATAGCAGTTTGGTCTATATTTTTAATCATTCAATATCTACCTTCACTGATGAGCTATGTATTAGCGAAACAGCTGTCTGAAGGAGTTTATCAATATCGTCTACGGAAGTGTCCTCGCAATGATGATGGTTGTGTGCAGGAGGGTCTAGTCGGCTAAAGAGCGCAGTGTGGTGGTGGAGGTGACTCAACATTTTCTTCAATGGCCGAGAGCTCTGTCGCACCCTGTAATAATAATAGAAGTCATGGTACTACTATCAGTGCTGCTGCTGGTGCTTACCTGGAGCTGGTGTGACCTTGCCTGGGCAGTACTGTGCATCAGAGCCATCAGCACAGTCGTACCAAACACCGTCGCAGCGCTGTGATGGCAGGATACAGCCACAGGCTGGAACGCAGGCAGGGCAGGTAGCCAGACTGGCACTGCAGTTGAATGGCTGGATACACGTACCCATACACACAACACACAAAGCAGTCAAGAGATGAAGAAAGTGTCTGCTCGGCACATCTTTTGTACAGTCAAGAGATATTAGCATATTTGGAGGAGGTGGTAGCCTAAAACAGGCTCGACAAAAGTTACCGGCTTATGCCAACAACTCAGTGTTCTGGTAGAGTAGACGGTTCGATACCGGAACGCCTTGACAGCCAAATTTGTATAGACCCAAACCGATCATCAGCGTTGATTTTTCACTCGAAATATGTTTGTGGAAGGAAACTGGCATGTTGAAGTTTGCTCTGGGGCCAGAGTCAATCGAACTGAGCCACTCCTTTGTGTTGACCCATTGCCTCCAAGTTGCCCAATTTTTCGCTTCAAAAAAGTTCAAATCAGAGGTGGCTCCAAACCGGACACGTTTTAGAGTGCACGTCAAATTCACTTTGGGTCTGAAATTAGCTAATTGCTATCGCTCCACGACAGCCAGTACAGAGTAACAATAAGCCTTGTGTGTGCTTCCATTAGTTTTGATTGGCATGCGGTGCTTTATTGGCAAGAGGCGAGCCGCTGTTTACCTGCGACAAGAAGTTGATTTTTCGAAAGTCGTAAAACTCAAGTCGCAGTGCGAAGCAACACGTCAAAAACTCACCTGCTTGGTATGGCGCGTCTGGTCATCGCAGAGCCATGAAATTTTGGCTCGGAGTATAACACATCGTAGTCTCACTGTGACATATGTTTTCTAATCAAAATACCAAGAGAGAAAGTGAATATTGAGTCCGTTTCGGTTTGCAACCTGTGTCCTATTTGAAACCGTCGCCTCTACCCGGTGAAACACCCTAACCATACACCTACAAGTATAACATATATCCTAAGGACTCAGGCTGAGATGCCCGACTGGTCCTGGGTCCTGTGATAAGCACGATCATCATTTGTGATGATGAAAAGTGGCAGGTAACACCCAGACTACTACATGCTCTGTAAATAGGAAAGATCAACGCCACCAGAATCTGCCTTCCTACAAGCCTGAAGCTTCTCTACACAAGAGGGATATATCGGCTCTCTTGAAATTCAACTTACGATTACATGAGGCAGCTGCCCCACTCCAGGAACCGTCAATCTGGCAGATGCGCACAATGCTTCCCTGCAGGTTGTATCCGGAATTTCAGCCGAAGACGACGCTGCCTCCAGCAGAATAGTTTGTGCCCTGGGAGTAGCCGTTGGTCGGTTTAGCTAGCGGTGTGCACACACCGGCTGTACACGTCACAGGCACGTACACACACAGGCACGTACACACACAGGCACACACACACACACACACACACACAGGCACACACACACACACACACACACACACCTTGACCTTGATACACAAGGATTCTTCATTATTTGCCACGTTTGAGCTGAGCTGCGATCATCGCGCTTTGTTGCAGTGTGCTAAAAAAACAAGAACAAAAAAAACGGCCAAAAAAGTGGGGCGGCTGAGGCCGCCCCAGCCACCCCAGCTGTGCCGGCCTTGCATGCCTGGTGTACGGTCTGAAAGATGAAAGATGGAGCTCTTGTATACACGGGCCCGGAAAGTCTGCTTCGCCTGCTCGGCAGCAGCTTCGTAGTGGTGGTCAAGGGTCGAAGACCGACGGATACGGATCAACTCCCCAGTGATCACACCTTTACCCATACTACGGGGGTGGTTACTACCGGCAAGCAGATACAGGAAACGATTGGTGACCTTGAAATGAGGCTTCACCGCCATGTATCCCTTACTACGGAAAACTGTGGTGTCCAGGAAATCAATGCCATCATGTGCCAGTTCATGCGCAAACTCGAGGGCCGAACACTTATTAATCCTGTCTAAAGCGCGCTGAACTTGACCTTCGCAACCATGCAATGAAACAAAAATGTCACTGATAAAGCGTCTATAAACCTGAACCTCTAAACCCTCCCCCTCTAAGATCGGCAAAATGTACCGATTCTCCAAATACAGCATAACAATGTCGGCATAGACCACTGCTGCAGGCGAACCCATGGCAGTCCCTTGGATCTGCGGAAACAAATCGTTATCTTACACGAACCCGTTAGTCTTCCGAATGACTGACATCAAGGAAGTCACTGCTGTTGTTAACCGTGTACGAAGGGCCGGGGGCATCCACCTTGTATACCTGTGTGTGATATACCACGACAATGCCACGTGACCGAGCTCGTTGGGGATGCTGGTGTAAAGGCTGGTCACATCTATACTAAAAATAAATGATCGTCCCGCACAGGCAAACCTTCTACCAAGTTGATGAAATCCGTAGTTCAGGCCAGAACAGTACTTTCCTCACGTACATACAGGTTCAGTAGAAAGTCAATGAAATTAGTGGGATAGTAGCCAGGACTATTCAGACTAACAATAGGCCTAACCTTCAGGGCACAGGGCTTATGTGTTTTGATAAGTCTCCTGAAAACGGGCATACGCCCCCGGTGCGACTAAGAACAGTGACATATAAAATGGTCATACGATGCCCGATGCGATGCCTAGTCATGGTGAGTAAACAATTGACTCGGGTCGCAAACACGAAGTCTCAACACAGCCTTGAGCCTGTTGGTTGCCATCGGCAGTCTAGCCACATGTTCATCTAGCCCCTCAGGAAAAAAAACAGTCATTTATAATGTTGGGCATTGTGATGCTGGGCACGACCTATATCATCATAGTGAGATCCGTCCAGGACTACTATCACAATAGACTGCCTTTGAATATGCCCGAGTCTGATCGCGTTCTAATTCCCAAACTATGTGCTGCATGTGTGCACTCCGCCTATGGTTAGTCTACTCCAGAACAACGCCTGGAGAGGTTGTAGTGGAATGATGGCAAAGCCCCTGTGACCCAACCCAAGCGGCCACACAACCAAGACGTTTTATTTCGCTTACATTTGTCTACAAGGAAAAAAGAGAACTGAAAAAAAGCCATGATCTCGGAACTACTCGTAGTAGTAGTAGTACTGCTTGACCTAAACCGGAACTAAATCGTACCCGCACGGTACGCAGCGCAGACTGCACGTACAGCAGAACATAACCATGATAACGCGACGCAGCTTGGAAAGCCAGCTAGCTAGCTATGTATGAAACAACGGACCGCAAGCATGACAGCGGGAAATGCAAAGGGCCAGTCGGCAACAGTACACAATGACGATTTATGCTATTGGGTATCATTCATGGCTAGACCTAACACTGTATGCACGTGACATGTCGCCAAGTTATTGTTCTAACCAGAGGAGTAATTGTCACCTTCAGCAGCATGGATCTAAGAGTAAGACTAAGACTGTATTCATCATCACACCTCCACCAGGTGACAAGTCTCTTTACGAGCAAAGACCGGAATACACTCGAAACGCTGTGAAAGGAAAAACCTATAGCATTTAGGAACACAACCTAGAATAATAGAACCACAGAACAAATGAACTACTGCACACCATCAGCTCCACACTCACGGAGCATACCTCCTTGGGGCTCTCAATGTATCTCGATTCCGGAGGCTTCGTCCAACTGGCTGATCATCTTCAGCAATCGGCAGGTCAAAGGCAATGGGCAGTTCGCCATTGCTGCTAGAACTGGCCTCCACCTGGTCGACTTCCGTTGACTCTGACTCAGCCTCGCCTGGATCCATCTTCAACAGATCAACATTCACGATCTTCGTGCCACCGCGACCGTGCGCAACGACGACCGTTGAGGATGCCACCACTGCCTCGACCACCCAACCACGCTCGTAGGGAGGCTGGCGCTTCTGCCGTCGGTCCTGGCGTCGCAACAGTACTGGATCTCCGGGCTGATAGGGACAAGCGACACGAGATCTCGATTCATCGATGGAGTCAGCTTGCGATAACTGGCCGTCTAAATAATCCCACACCCGGGCCGTCTGCATCTTCAGCTTGTCCACCCAAGCGCTCTCAGATAGCTCGCTGCCGGACTTCTCCACCACCAGGCGCTTCGGCTTCCAGCCATACATCGCCTCGGCCGGGCTGATTCGAGTGACACTATGCGGGCGTACACGGTACTTGAATAGCAGCAGATCAAGAGCCGCTTTCCAATCATCCTCTTCCTCCAACACCTTCCGAATCAAAGTGAGGAGCGTACGATTGAACCTCTCTACCGTGCCTTGACTCTGCGGGTGACGAACTGCACCATGCTGCACTCGAACTCCAAACGCCGCAAACAAAGCCGACATGATAGCGTTGACAAACTCGGTGCCGTTGTCGCAGCGCACAATCTCTGGTGGGCCCCACCGGGCACAGATGGACAGAAAGGCATCAGCAACACTTCGTGCATCGTGCCGGGGCAACGGAACGACTTCAGTCCATTTGGTAAATGCGTCCACACACACCAGGACGCAGTGGAACCTGCCATCACGACTGCCGCCGAGCTCCATGGTGTCGATGAACACGGTGTTCCACGGACCAGATGGCATGGCAGACCTCGTAGCTGGAACACTCTCGCCACGCTGCGGACTGGCAACAGCACAGGCCTGACACTTGCCAACAAAGTCCTGGCACTTTGCTGCCATTGAGGGAAAGAAGCACCGGCATTGCAGAAACCGCCAGGTTCCCTCCCAACCGGCGTGTCCAGTCTGAAGATGGGCTGCGCGCAACACTCTCTCCTCCAGAGACTCTGGGACTACTGGAACGACTTCTTCTTCACCAGTCGGCACCTTGAAGCTCCTCATCAGGACACCGTCGGCAACACAGAGTTGATTCTGGATCTTCTTGTAGCCAGCAGCGACAACTTCCTGTTCAGCTGTCTTCGCTGCAATCACCGCTGTGATGGCCGCATCACTTTCCTGTTCGCTGGCTATCTCTTGGAGCGACACAGGGCCAAGAGCAGATGGATCGATGCAGGCACCAGACACGCCGACGTCAAACTCGCCGACGCCTGACTGACCTTTCCAGTACTGGACGAGCTTCTCAGGAACTCTAGTCAGCTCGTCTGCCTTGTTGCTGGCAGATGGAACCCACTCCAGATCAACGCTGAGGTCAGCCGCTTTGATCAAGTCATCGATGATTTGGAGTCGCCGGTGAACCACCACCTTGTTCAGCCCACTGACTTTGATTCGCTTCAAGTGGCCGAAAAGCGAGCTCAGCCAGCCATGAACGGTCTTGGAGTCGGTCAAGACCTTCACCTTGCGCACATTCCACTCAACCGCCAAACTCAGGCCCTTGATGACCGCCTCGAGCTCTGATAGGTTGATGTGGCGAGTGTCGTTCTTCAGTCTCAGCCAGCATTGGTCCTCTACCACTCGGCCGTCGACTTCCAGGGCCACGCCATAGGCGATACTCGAGGCATCACACCAGATCTTCCAGGAGTGTTCCTCGCCGCTTGGAACGCTCCAAGCACCATGAACTGGGTCTTCCTTCAGCACCCGAGCCATGACGTCACGACACAACACCTGCAACTCTTCTGGAACCGGCTCATCCCATGCATCAGTCAGACAGGCCAAACGACGGAGCCAGCTTGACATCGGCCGCAGCCAGCGACACACAGGATAATGCGCCGTCAGGGCGCCACACCAGCGAAAGATGCTACGCTTCGTCAGCACAGCAGGAATATCAATGGATGTCGGGTCACGACGATCCCATCGCAGCTGGTCTCCCTCAGCATCAATCTTCAGGCCAAGCACGCACGCCTCCTCAAGCTTCACAGGCGGCTTCGTTGGTAGACCATACCGTTGCAGAGAGGCAGCCAGCTCCTTGGTCTGATGGCGTGGTGTCAGGATGTCATCCACATAGTTGTCAGTTGCCGGAAAGTCCTTCGTAACCCACCGGACAATAGCATCCATGACTTTTGGTGCGATTGAAAGGCCGAACCCCATGCGCTGCATGACAAACTTCTGACCTTTCCAAGCCACCACCTGAAACCGCTGCAAGGCAGGCTGTACACGCACGTTCAGGAAGGCCTTCCGAATATCCAGGATATCCATAGCATCGCCGCACTGGCGCCATTTCCGAAGCTTCTCTTCACATGCTGGTGCATCCAGGCCCGGATGAGACACAATGAGACTGTTCAGCGCGCGATAATCCAGACAGGGGCGGACCGGAGTGGACACTTTGTGCTCTTGACACACTGCCAGCAGAGGCAAAACACCGCCAATCTCGCCGTGCGAGCCTTCGTCATAAGGAACTAGCCATCCTTGATCAATCCAGTTTTGGACCTCGGTGACGAACTTCACCTCCTGATCATCCGATAATCCTTGGCGGGAATACTCGCCGATGCCTGTACCGATAGGTGAACTTGGAGCAGCTCCGTCGCACCATTTCCAAGTGACTTCCCAGAAGCCTTTCTCGGGGTCGAACATCACTTCACAGTCACTCATCTCCAACGTGACCTTGTCTCCATCCTGTCGGACCTGAACGTGGCGTGGCAAGTGCTCTTCATTGCTGATCTTACTCTCGACTGCAGCCACGACTGGCCTCGTTCCGAACACAGCACCAGTTAGCTGGCCGTCACTCTCTGAATACTCCAGAGCAACACCACCGGCCGATGAGATCACATCAAGACCAATCAGCATGTCAGAGCGAACCACGTCCAGAGAATCAACTACCAGAAACTTGGCCTTGATTTTCGGCAGGTACACATTGTTGTCATCACGGGAGACAGTCAGCTCCACAGTGCCAGTGATATCGAGTGAGTTGCCGTTAATAGCCGTGATCATGTCCTCACCCGACGGCTTGCAGACAGGCACAGACAGTGTACGCACCGCAGCAGAAGACACTAGGGAGCGACTCGAGCAAGAGTCAATGGCTGCCTTCAGCCTGGTCCGCTCTCCATTGACCGACACGAAGACTTTCGGCAGGCCACCACGACGCCTGGCAACGAGGGCAAGACATGCATCATCTTCGCACTCTGCAGCAGCGACATCTGGTGATACTGCAAATGCATTGGCACCTGCACCAGGAGTCCTGCCACTCACTTGTCCTTCGGATTTGGCCTCAGGACAGTGCCTCTTGATGTGACCAAATCGCTTACATCTGAAACACTGCACCTTCTTCTTCTTGGGGCAGTCCCTCCTCAGGTGGCCAGTTTCTCCGCACAGGTAGCATACTCTGCTGTCTCCTGGCTCAGGTCCTACGGCAGACGCGCTGACACCAGGCTCATCCGCCACTGCAAGGAGAGCACGTGCTTGCTTCGTCAGCTGTGTCATCGTGGGATCCCCACTAGCCGCCGCACTGAGGCGCAGCTGATTTGCAAATCGACGAGGCAGACCTGACAAGAACTGCTCGACGAGCACCGGGTCTTTTCCATCTGCTGCTTCCTTGTGGCCACTACGCGTCAACAAAAGGCGCAAGTCAGATGCATAAACATCAACAGTTTCATCTTCCCGCTTCCGACGTCGCACAAACTGGGAGTACGCCTCCCTCGACGAGCAGGCGAACGACTCCTCAAGCCGTGCCTTCACCTTATCCTCGTCCTCCTGATCCGCAGTAGCCATTTGTCTCCACACCGTAAAGGCATCGCCAGATAGATACAGAGGCACATGCGCCATTCGCTCCTTGCCTGTGCTCCATTTCTGAATTTTTCCCACGACCTGGAACTTCTGCCAGAACTCTTCCAAGTCCTCCTGGCCACTAAATGCGCGCAACGCGCCTTCTGCTTTCGCCATCCTTAGTTCCTCCCCGCAGTCCCGGGTTTCGGCACCAGAAACTGTAGTGGAATGATGGCAAAGCCCCTGTGACCCAACCCAAGCGGCCACACAACCAAGACGTTTTATTTCGCTTACATTTGTCTACAAGGAAAAAAGAGAACTGAAAAAAAGCCATGATCTCGGAACTACTCGTAGTAGTAGTAGTACTGCTTGACCTAAACCGGAACTAAATCGTACCCGCACGGTACGCAGCGCAGACTGCACGTACAGCAGAACATAACCATGATAACGCGACGCAGCTTGGAAAGCCAGCTAGCTAGCTATGTATGAAACAACGGACCGCAAGCATGACAGCGGGAAATGCAAAGGGCCAGTCGGCAACAGTACACAATGACGATTTATGCTATTGGGTATCATTCATGGCTAGACCTAACACTGTATGCACGTGACATGTCGCCAAGTTATTGTTCTAACCAGAGGAGTAATTGTCACCTTCAGCAGCATGGATCTAAGAGTAAGACTAAGACTGTATTCATCATCAAGGTTCATTGGGGGCATGATGTCCCCCACCCCATCCCCCTTGCCCCCTGCACCTGAAGTACCGGTATTGCCCCTCCCCCCCCCAAATAAAGTACAGGACACAGATGGAGCACTGGGGAGCACGTAGCAGTAGGCAAGTTGACGATGCCAGTGCAGACACACCGTCTCACCTCGGTCACCACACTGGCACAGTCATATGGTCTCCAAGGAACATAGCTACCAGAGAACACACAGAATGGGAGTATATAGTGCTATCCCGGAGGATAGACAACCTCCTATACAAAAATATCTACTGATAGAGTTCTGTGTAGACCCTATGTGCACATATGTGTGGATGAGTACTGGTAAACGAACAGCTAACCCTAGTCTAAGTAAAATAAATGTAGAATGTAGACCCTGGGCAAAAAAATAAGTAAATAAAAATAATAGCAACACATGACGGAACTCGGATGGAGAGCCAAGGATTAAAATTAAAAAAGAGGACCATAAGTTTACGAGGTATCCGTTTTTTCCAACACTAACGGGTATAAACATGATGCAGCTAAGCATCAGGTCGTTGAATGTCATGATCTCATCAGTCAGTTTTTGTGCTGATTGTTGCACATTTTTGACTCAACAGTATTCTGCATATAACCGTTAGTGTTGGACAAAACGGATAACTTGTAAACATGAGGGAACACTCATCCTTACCCAAGTCCCAACGTCAGCACTCGGCGCCGCTCCGAACCAAGTGGAACATTGGAGAGGTCGTCCATCAGCTCCTCTCTCGTCCTGCGATCAAATCGCCTAATGCTAAAACACAAGAAGATAGGAAAGGCAAGTAGAATAAATAAATCAATAAAATAATATGTAAAAAGGCGACGTGGAGACAATAATCTTAATAATGCAATGAATATAACTAAATGCGCACTCATATCACAACCATGGGGACGAATCATGTATTCCAGAACGTTTTCTTGTCACAATTATCAATGGAATTCGTGACTAAAGAGAAT